TCTAAAATTATTTCTAAGAAATTTCTGATAATGAAACCTTAATATTTGAACCGCGTCAAACATCAACAAAACGAAAGTGATTGCCACTTACTTACACACAGATGAGATGAGCCTTTGTTTATTTAATATGGTCGCTCATTGAAAGAAGAAAACAAACTTAAAAAGAATAATGAAGTGTAATAATGAGTGTAGGTTCTATATTGAATTTATTGAATGAGTTAGAAAAATAATGTTATGCAAAAAGTTCAATAAATTCAGTAAATAAGAAATTTCCTATTTATTTGACGGGCGGTTAATATTGAAACGTTCCATTTAGCGTAAAGTTGTGCACTTTGACGCCCGGTAGCCATACAGTTTTTTTATTATTTTAAAAGAAAAGAACGTCATCATTTGATCAAAACAATTACATGCAATTCATGAATTTGCTATAATATTCTGGCGTTTTTTTTCCATAAACGCCCCAACAGAAACAATCAATTTCTTAAAAAAGTATTGTAGGAATCAGCAATAAAAGAGTGACAATAAAATTCGCTTATTATTTTCTAGTGTTAAACATTTTACGGAGTATGAAATATAAAGTTTCAAATCGGATTTGGATTTCGACGTTTTTATCCATGCCGGAAAACCCGTCTGAAACCTTTTATGTCAGACAGCTCATGCGCTCAGATGACGTCATTATCTTTATGAGAGAACGGGTGTGAAAAGTACTACATTACTATGAAAATAGTATTTACAAGCATAGGTAAGTGTTCATCCGTGCTGTTCTACAGAAATTAGAAACTTCGACGGGAGCGATATCGATAGCGACAAATTAATAAAGACTTTTTTCCTACATTAGTCATGAAAATATATTAATTGACATTTTTATTGGTTTTTACTTTTAGACGTGCAGTAGACGTGGATTTAAATTTGAACTGCATGTATATCCTTCATCCATAAATACAAAATTAATGTAAGATGGCCTTTTGACGTCATTTTTACTCAATTAATATCCAAAAACGGCACACGAAAGCGCATGTGCAAATTTATGCAAATGACTATTTTTACAAACACGGTTCTATGAAGTACTGTGAAAAACAGAAGCCGATCATGAAAGAAATTTTATATAGTATCGACATTTGTTCTTCTATGAAATTTGACACACATGATTTTGAAGAAAATACAGCGTTTCCATTGGATGACAAATAAAGTTAGACACTTATTTATATAGATATTTGACATTTGGGATCAAGTTTAACTCTTGACGACACTCTGTATATGTTAGTGTTCATCCGAGCTGTTCTACAGAAATAAAAAACTTCGACGGGAGCGATAGCGACAGGAGAATGTTTCTAATTTCTGTAGAACTGGATATATCTATCCGATACGAAAACACATGACAGATATTCTTATGCAAACACTAAATAATTTTCAGTTTCTTTATTTGTTTCTACACATCTGTCTGCAAAGACCTGAGCGATAGACGTAACTTTTCTATTTAAAACTAACTGTTATATCAATTAAGCAGAAAAATGCGCCGTACGTTATTTTTGATATTTTGTGCACCATAAGTTATCATTTCTAGGAAATGCCCCGATATTAATATTTACAGCAGTTATTTCAGCCGGAATTGGCATGAATGCTTAGATGACGACAAATTGCAACTTTTTAAAGTCAGTGGTTTCAGAAAATTTACATATATGAAAACGAAACAGTGAATTTTAGAAAAGAAGCCGTACGTTATCACGATCAAACCGGTGAAAAATTATCTCGCTTTGAATCTGGTGACGCGCATTTCAAATAAAGTACAGGACAAAACATCATAAAATAAAAGCCTGTGTGTCCGTAAACTTGTGGAGAAGGTTATTACATGAACCTTTACACTAGAACATGACGAATTTTAGAGAGCAAGGAAAACACATTTCGGCTGCATCCGCCATCTTGTTTGTTTGAGTAACGAACAGCGTGATTCCGTGGTTTTCAAACCTAGATGACCGATGTTCGCACTCCTCAGATAAATTACATAGACAAGCATCCTGACCAAGTTTGATGATGATTGAGTCATAAATGTGACCACTAGAGTTTTAGCAAGGTTTTTCCATATTTGAGCAGTGTGACCTAGTTTTTTACTAAAATAAAAGACCTTTTTCCAAGTTACTTATTTTATAAATAAATAGATTTGAATATATAAGCGCCACTGGGCAGTTACATATTGATTAACAGGGTGCAAATGTTGTATTTACAAGCGGTACTTGGCTGTAATATCATAAATCACCAGGGTGCATAAGAGTTAAAACATTATATCAGATTATGTCACTTCGTTAGTTGTCAAAATAACTATGATCCGAGTCCTAGGGACTTTATTGGTCATGCCTGACTGATTTGATACTCCAGAATGATTACCAACTGGCACAGTGAAAAATACGTAATCATAATTTAGTTCATAACAGTTATGTGTACGTTTTTCACAACTTGTTTTTTTATTGATTATTTAAAAAAGTATGTAAGCAGAGTATGAATTAAATAAAAGTAACATGTTGAAAATATCACTTTACGTGCTTTCATATAATGTGCATTCAACCTGCGTGATGTACGATTTTTTGAGAGACACATATTATATACATGTACATTCAAAAGAATTGTTACTTGTATGTTTTAACACTTTTGAAATTGCATATATTTATATTATTGTTTTTCTTTGTCTCAGTAATGCTTTAATCAAAATAATATTTATTCAACCAGTATCTTGCAATAAATTATTACACAGCCGTGTTTTGAAACTACAGAATACCTACATGTTTGAAACTCAAAATAAAACTCGGTTCGACAATTTTCATTATTAAGAATCAAACGAAAATAGTAATTATGATCAGTTACCCAGCCATGATCTAGTATTGACACAAATCGTTAATCTTTTTATAGTTAACATATTTATTCATTTGACCATCCTTTCATCAAATATCTTATTCAATTTCACAAAATTTTGGAAATTTCAATCTGCCCATCTTACAAGAGTAAGGATTAAGATCTTTATATCCCTCTACTAATGTACTTAAGCGTATCGGCAACGTCCATCGTATCCCCCAATGACGTCATCCAAGTGCAGTGCGACAACATGAATACGGTCTTAAATGAAAGGTTCTATTAACTAGCAAAGAAAACAAAAATAAAGGTTAATATAGTGGTATTGAAAATGAATTTGAGTACCAAAGGAGTATTAGTATTCTCGACGAATATACATAATCAGTTCAATAAAAACAAACTCTTCTCTTAAGTTTTTTTATTTCATTCCAGACGAACACATTTATATCAGCGGACACTCGGTTAGACCACCTAACCGTCCAACCATATAGGGCTTACAAGGACAAGCCATAAATGGCGAGCTTTGAGCTAAAATGACCGTTTACAATTTCGATTTTGGACTTAACGTTGGCAAAATACCAGAGTATTCACACGACGAACGCACTCACTCACTCACTCACCAACTCACCAACTCACTCACTCACACACACTCACTTATACCATCGGACACACAGACACAGCACTCACACTACACAAATCCTAAAATGTGTAGTCAGATTTACCGTCGTCAGTAGTAGCCATAGCTCAAGTTGTTCTGGCTTACCGGAATAGCCGTAGATCGGGATAATTACTAGTATGGAATTACAATATGAAATAAACCGATGTCTATTGTACAAGTTTCATTGTATATAATCTCTGGCTAGCCAGTTCAGCCTGAACAGGTTTCAAGCTACCCGAACCAACCGGAACAGCTGCATTTTTTAAGTAATTGATTGATTGAAAGAGACATTGCTCATGACATCGAACATTGCCCATATTTAAACAACGCGTATATTTAACCCCTTCTTGCGTTGTATGCAGCGCATGTTAAGCGTTTTCATTTTTTATTAATTCTTTGACCTCAAGATCGTATGAAATTACATTTGACATATAAAGTAACATAAATCATGTTGTGTAAAGTGAGTAGTTGTTTGGGCTATAATTTTTATACAGAACAATAAGAAACGTTTCTTTTTGCTTGTTGATATGAAATATCTTAGTATGTACATTATATCTTGTCTATGTTACAAGTCGGGTATACGTGCAATATTCAATCCTACTAAAATAATTATAGAATATTTGTTCTTTTTCATATCAATAAACAATGATACAATTAGAAAAAAGGGTAGAACGGGAGATCAGGAAAGAAAAATGTCAAATAAAGGGAAAGCTGCATATACATAAGCACATTGACCCCTATACAAAAGCACGCTCAGACATGCTCACACACATAAATTCGCAATAGCTGTCATTTTTAAAGCATGTATATTTTGTTATTGCCGTAAAACAGACATCAGTCGAATTTTTAATAAACATTGTGTTTTTAACATATATTTCAATTGTACATACTAAGATTACATCATTATAAACAAATAGTTTTACTTGTAGCTAACACCTTTCAGTGTCTATATACAAGTTATATAGGTATGAACATTACAATTAGCCCCTTTTTTCCCACACGTCATATTTTCAAAGCTAATGCCATTGTCTACTCCATCAATTTTTATAATATGTGCTGACCTAAACAATGTCCGTTTTTTAATAAGAACGACAGGCGTTGTTTTTCTTTATTCAAGCATCCACTCAATACAAAACATTGACTGTGTCACATAAAACACAAGTGCATAAGTCTTCTTAACTTTTTTCAGTATATAATATTAATCTTACTTTATTTAATATGTACGAAAAGATCAACAAATCAGATTGTTTTAGCAGTATTCGTTAAAAAAATCTTTTATTTCCTTTTTTGAAAAAGGTTTGTGTATCTTCGACTAAGGTGATAACTTATATGATAAGTAATTTTGTTTAATGGCGAGTACTTAAAGACATTTTTGATGAGAATCAGTATTAATAATTTTTATTTTCATTTTCATCGACATGTGCATAATATTCACTTTATTTCAAATGTGCTATATATCACACGTATATTCAAGAAACAATTTTAATTAGACAAACATTACCTGGTGTACATGATATGCCAACATCTTTATGGTGATCACAATCAGTTATTCCCCACTCTCTATGCGGGCATTGCGTTATGCTTGTTTCAGTTCCATTACAGTAAACACCGTGTAAACGTACTAGTGATGCTCCAGGGCCAAAGTGTGCGGACCTTAACACCATAGGGTTAGAGCTAAAATGATAAATATTTTTTATTAAATCATCTCATATACATTATAATGGTCGATTCAATAATGCTTAGCTTCCGTTTATCCATTTAATCTCTTAAATGTGTCGTTGTGGAAATAAACACACATCTTTTGAGAATCAAAATATATCAAATGCTATTATCAGTTTATCCCGATTTTCTGTTAAAAGATCAAACTATTTTTCTCTCAGACAATATTTTTAAAACAATTTGTCTGACTGCTAAAATTTAAAACAATAACTGTAAATAAATGCAATTTAGTATTGATAGTCCCGAAGGGGGAGTAGAGCTGTTTTGTAATCATCGCTTTTCGTCTTCGCACCAGTCAAATACGACTTATCCAATGCATCGTAAACATAGTGGTTAAAACATAATTGACATGTTTCTGTTCCTTCTTGTATGACCTTAACAATAATAAAAAAGATAGCAAAATACTATTCTAATTGTCCCTCACATGTCCCCATTCCGAATCAAGATACCAAAATTTTATCAATTAATTATTTGTACATATATAGTCTTTAAATATTTGTATTTATTGATATCTTTTTAATTAAATTCGTTTTGTTACACTGGCTTAATTTTCTCCGACTTCGATATTATTGCCGTGTTTTGTTTGTTCGGTGTTCTAGGGTAAGCATTTCACAATGTTGGTTAAAAGCATAACGATAATTTATTTGCAATATCTGAGCTAGTTATTGGCTACTAGTCCAGCAGGATTGATTATTACAAGCATAGCTTATCGAAAGAATGATAAGATTTTACGATTTTTTATTTCACTAAAAAATATTTACAACATACTAGATCCAAAAAAAAAATCAATTCAGCAATGGCGTATAAATATACATAAAATATGTTTAGAAGCCCGTTCAGTATTTTGTCCATGACTTATCGGGACAGCCATCGTATGTACAATTAATCTAGTGTACACTATCTTTTCCAACTAAGTTTACAAGGGTTTTTGCTGAAGTAAAGATATTTTTGTCATAACTGCTTTATTTAGAGACATTCGCATCAATATTTCTGCATGAATATAGTTTTCATATATTAAATTTATTCAAAACAAGATATAGAGAACTATTGTTTTCGGAAATTGTGAACACTGATTCAAGCTAAGCTACTCATTTGCTTTTAGATGGCACATACTACACAAGAGACTACCAAAGCACAAGGCACATACAAAATATCGTGATCAGGAAAAGCACACGTTAGTTACATTACTGTGACTTCCTGTTATATTAAAACATTTTTTTTTCAGAAAGATGTTGAGAACTTCTGGCTGTTATCTGTATGATTGATTACGTATTAGGGATTTACCTTTTCGCAAGAAAGGAAATATTTACCGTATTATGTAGGACAATCAATTGTGTGGATATATTTCTAAGGTGTGTAAAATAGAATTTTCATAATATTGTTTCTCACTTGAGGTAATACTACAGATGTTAATGAGACATTCTTCGTTTTATAAAATGAATGTTAACATATGAAGGTACATCTTACTTACTGTGGGTAATTCAGCATCTTACAAACAACAGTTGCTGACTTCTCACTAAACGCATCATCGCATACTGTTCCCCAAGCCCCATTATGCCATACTTCCAGTCTCCCTTCATACTGATTTGATCCATTCACCAATCGAACTACAAGAATCGATATATAAAACATGATTTATATATAGCTGATACTATCAATATAATCTTTTTTTTTGTTGTTGTTGTTGTTGTTTTAAAGTCTTTCTTTGGGGGGGGAGGGGTGTCTTTTTTATTTTTTGTTCAATGTTTACAAAATAAAAAGGAAGCTGTCATATGTAATAATGTGCAAAAAAAAATATTTAAGCCCTGATGTATGCTAGTAGTATAAGTTATAGTAGAAATAGTAGTAGAAGAAGGTATTGACAACCGACTCTGATCAACCTTCTTCAGCACTTTTTTACTTAAATAAATTGTATGGATTGTAACACCATGATAAAATGAGACAACATAATACAATGTTTGAAAATGTTATATTTGTTTTCTATTTTATATTTTAAAAATGTTTTTCATTGTTTTTCATTTTCATTTGTTTTGTAAAAGGGATATACAGGCAAAATTTTCTTTTCTTCGTTTTGAATTTTTCTTCCATTATTTTGTAAATGTCCTCAAAATAAATACACTAGGCAGTCACAGGAAAAACTGTTTGCCTTAGAAAGATTAAAATGGTGGATTCCTAACTTGACCCACGTGGGTCAGGTTAGAGCGTTAAGATTTCTCAAAAGTTGTCACAGTGAACTCTTGAAACGTTAAAGAACATGTCAAATAAAAGACTTAGACTTTATTAAATCATACAATATCCACAATATCTGTTATTGTAATTTCCAAGGTTTGTTAATGTCACATGACTTGATTTTAAAACTACTCGGCGATTCTTTCGACATCTAAGTTTCGTTCAAAATATATAGGTATTTGTACAGCTTAAAACCCAAAATATATAGAATTTGAATAGAAATTCATGCTGGGACTTTAAAAAAGGGTATTTTTAAAAAATGGCATTTAAGCTTGATTTGAGTACATAAGATCATTTTAATATTTTAGTCATTAATTTGCCAGAGTATCCCTTTAAATAATTATCACTTTCTTTCGAAAATACTATAAGTAAATAATTTATTTCAGAAACACTTAAAATCAGCCAAAGATTACCTGGTGTACATGATATGCCAACACCGCTGTCGTGACTGCAATTATGTTTTCCCCAACCCGAATGCATACACTGAGATATTCTTGTGTCTGTTTCCGAACATTTCACTTTGTCTAAATGTAACGGAAATGCTCCAGCGCCGAAGTAAGAAGACTTGAATACCACAGGATTAGTACTAAATATGTTAGGTTAAATATAAGAACATCGTAATATCATATTTATCTGTTTATTTAATGCAATACATTAATTTTTCCAATGTTTGTTTTAATTCAAACGTGTTTTCTACGCCGTAAAAAAGAATGTATACAATTATTTTCAGAATCAAACTGGGGATCAATTGATATTGTAAATCAATCACTTTGTGATATTAAACCTCTATCAATTATATTATGCCTCAAACAAAAGTTTTTGAAAATTTGTTGGCTTAGTTTATTAAACAATGTTCTAAAATAAGTTAACTTACTGTTGAAAATTGAGCATCCTACAAACAACACTTGCTGATAGCGTATCAAACCCATCATCGCATACTGTTCTCCAAGACCAATCACGCCATACTTCTAGTCTCCCTTCATACTGATTCGAGCCGTTAACTAATCGAACTACAAGAATAACAATAATATTGTACGAACATTCTGAAGCTAAAGCGTTCAAAGAATAAACAATTTCAACTTCATTAACGTTATTTACTTCTTTTGCTTCTCGTCATAACTCTTTTTGTTTGTTGAAATAACATTTTTTTCCGCATTTCAAGGTCTTTTTATTTTGCGTTATTACGACTTTATGAGTGATACTATATCTATTTTGTTTCATGTAACTATCCAATTGGTTTGCGTTATAATACCTTTATTTGCGTTCTTACGCCTTAACAATATTTTATTTTACAAGCGTGATGATATTAAGCTTTTGTTTTAAAAAGATGTTCAATGAATAAAAAAGTATATAAGGGGGGGATAATCAGCCCTTTAGATGTGACTAAAGATAAAATCAAAATGACTTTCTGAATTAATGCTAGAAGTTAATTATCCCAATAAATGTCAGACATGAGAAACTCTTTACTTTTGCCAGATTGCAGCACTTATAATAATGTTGCCGAAACTTCTATTACTGGTTAATTATAAGTGTATAAGTTCTTTCGACTAAAAGGCTTTTTACATGTGTATATTATTCTTTTGATTGGTTGAAAGATGAGAAAGAAAAAAACATATAATGACCTTGGCCTCCTTCCACTATTTTACCTAGTGTATCTACCATATATCTCGTCTCGTTTAGTGTGATAAGATCTAATGAAATTTCTTCCCAGTACTTGATTTGCATGGCAGTAATATCTTCGAAACGTTCGTCTATAGTATTGTTAATCGCAACTTTGAACGTTTCAACCGTGTCCTTATATACCAATTGTTCAGTAGTTATGTCCTGGAAACGTTTGTGGATGGTCTTGTTAATCGCAACTTTGAACGTTTCAATGGTGTCCTTATATTTCACTTGTTCAGCAGTTATGTCTTGGAAACGGTTGTCGATGGTTTTGTCAATCGCAACTTTGAACGTTTCAATGGTGTCCTTATATTCCACTTGTTCAGCAGTTATGTCTTGGAAACGTTTGTCGATGGTTTTGTTAATCGCAACTTTGAATGTTTCAATGGTGTCCTTATATTTCACTTGTTCAGCAGTTATGTCTTGGAAACGTTTGTGGATGGTTTTGTTAATCGCAACTTTGAATGTTTCAATGGTGTCCTTATATTTCACTTGTTCAGCAGTTATGTCTTGGAAACGTTTGTCGATGGTATTGTTCATCGCTTCTTTGAAAGTTTCAATGGTGTCCTTGTATTCATTTACTATTTTATTCATGCTTGAAACTAATTTGTTTCTTTCTTTTTTCTCTGAGATCAGCACCTTCTGTAATCCTATCTGTTTTTCCTTTGTCTCAGTTATTGTTTTATTAAATTTCATATTGATATCGTTTACGTTTTTTTCTAACATTGCCAGACGATCTAAAATATAAAAGGAGCGATTTGGCTAACACACGATTTTTAAACTAAAATAAAAGTTATCGTACAATTATAAGTGTTCAAATAGTAACCAAATACATAACGCATATGTTAATGTGTTTTTTTATAACTATATGACATTGTTTGAAATTTAGTAAAATTCCGAATAAAGATATGCAATTTAAGATAAATTTAAGTTGAATTTTCTATGAATGATACATTTGACAAAAATAGTACTTATGCATATTAATCATGTTTTTTTTACGATTTAGTCAACAATATTTATAGTGATTAGAAACATAATTGTACCATTTGGAATTGGCCCAGTTGTCTCGTATGTCTTTATTCTCGCTTCTAATCTACTAACTCTAGCAGACTCCATTTGTTGTTCAAACAGCACTTTTTGTACTAAAACCTTTAATATTCCAACTTCCTGACAGTCACATACTGCATCCCCTTGACTTTTAACTGTTGGAATGGTAACAGACGACAAAATCACGATGTACAATAAGATCATTTTTAGAATGCACGTAGAAAGCTCATATGTCATTAATATATTCCTTTAGTAATCTGCTTTTTAAAACTTACTTACAACTATAACCATATGAAATAAAAACGTTTTTTTTAAAATAAATATAGCTTTCACAATTATGTCCCAATTCTACTGCCGTTCTTTATGCGCATAAAAATCAAATAATAATTTGTAATAAGTAGCGTGAGATTGGACGAGGGAATTTGAAGTACATCACTTGACATTAAGTGGTTACGTTTATACGTTTCAGTTTGATAGAATATATACCAGTTATCTAAACTTAAGGAATAGATAAAAAAACATAAAAAAACAATGGTATAAAAGAGTAAATAATTATATCCGACAAACGAATAAAATGGCAAAATACGTCACGGTGTTAAGTCAAAAGATAATCAAATTACAAATGCGATTCTTAACATACTGTAAATGTGCAATGAAAATGAAGGCTAAACAGTTAGTCAAGAAGTCATATCTGAAATAAATGCAACTTTAAAAGTTCTTTTTTAACATATTTCAAATTTTGTTTTATCAAAAGTCTACATACTAAATGAAATGACGGGGTGGCCCATTTTGACACGGGCACATTTTCAGCTATTGAAACACAGGGAACGATACACCATGATGCTACATGCCAATTACATGCATTGAAATTCACTAAAAGAATATTTTACTATATATCCTTTGAAAAAATGACCCTTTATGCTACGTCAACAATTAACAAAGTAATTTTTTTTTCTAAAAACATGCAAATTATGTAAATACTTAATACAAAAACATTTCAAAACTAGGTAGCACATTTGTGAAAAAAAGGCTTTCCAGCATACAGTTTTAAGTACGAAAATCTATTAAAACATTTACATTAGGATATAATTTGTACAGGGCATTACTAGAACTATTTAGATGTTTTAAAATTTTCTACATACTTACAAAGCAGTTGCTTTAAGATGTTCAGAAAGGATTCATAGTCATTTACAGTCCGACTAACCGACATTGTATATTCCTCGAAATCTGTAACAAAAGTCTAAGGTATATTTAAACAGAACAAGAACGATGTCAACATGACCATCCCCCGCCGAATGTGTTTGGTCATTGGAAGAATTTATATATAGTAGAGCAGAATAATTCCATTTTAAGAGGTCTTTTGGTAAAGAAAACTGATGGCTGAAGTGATTACAGATTTGAAACCTATGTGAATACTGATGGCTGAAAATAACAAAGGGCAATAACTGAAAAATAATGCAGAGTATGTTATCATTCTTGTGTGCTGCATTCCTCCTCAGTAAAATCTATCCACCTATGAAGTTTCAAGTTGACACCTCAAATACTTTTGAGAAAAAAATTGAATTGAAAAATTAAGACATGAAAAATAACAAAGGGCAATAACTCAAAAATTATAAAAGGTAGAGTTATCATTCTTGTGCAGTGCTTACCTCCTGAGTGAGATCTATGCACCCATGAAGTTTCATTTTGATATCTCAAAGACTTTTTGATTTATGCTCTGGACAAAAATTAATTTTGAAAAATAACAAAGGGCAATAACTAAAAAATAATGCAGGGTAGAGTTATCATTCTTAAGCACTGCACTCCTCCTCAATGAGATCCATCCACCTTTGAAGTTTCAAGTTGATACCTCAAATACTTTTTGAGATAAGCTCTGGACAAAATAGCATGAAAAAAAACAAAGGGCAATAACTCAAAAATTGTATAGAGTTATCATTCTTGCGCACAACATTCCTCCTCAATAAGATCTATCCATCTATGACATTTCATGTTGATATCTCAAACACTTTTTGAGTTATGCTCCACTCAGGTGAAAAATTAGGTATGAAAAATAACGAAGGGCAATAACTCAAAAATCATGAAAGGTAGAGTTATCATTCTTGTGCACTGTACACCTCCTGAGTGAGATCTATGCACCTATGAAGTTTCATGTTAATATCTCATAGGCTTTTGGAGTTATGCTCTGGACAAAAATCAATTTTGAAAAATAACAAAGGGCAATAACTCAAAAATCATGCAAGGTAGAGTTATCATTCTTGTGCACTGCACTCCTCCTCAATGAGGTCTATCCACCTAAGAAGTTTCAAGTTGATAACTCAAATACTTTTAGAGATATGCTCCGGACAAAAATGTCGGACGGAAGGACGGACGGACGGAAGGACGGAAGGTCGGACGGACGGAGACTATTTCTATATCCTACGCCGAAAATTTTCGGCGGGGGAAAATAACATAGGACCAGCACTTAGCAGTAAAACCTAGCCTAGACTAGCCTCATTTAATATTAGTTATTCAGCTGTGGATGGGTCTATGAAAAATAGCACAACAATGTAAAACAACTTCTATTCCACGCCTGCGCTTTTATGCACTTTATACCTTATAATTGTTCTTATTTTTATTTCTCAAAAACTTTTTTTATCTTGCTACAGTTTGCAAATAAATTACTCATTTGCCAGTTAGATAAACATTAACTTGCGCTGTTGGCAGTTGGTATCATAATAGTAAATAAGCAAAATACCACTTTGTTTACAATTATTTCTCTACCTTTACGACAGATAAGTTCAGTGATATTGTCCAACAACATTGACCTGACACTCTGAATTTGACCCTGTTGTCGGTATATTCCGTGAACGTTACGATCAAATTGTAAATCGATATGAATGTAAAATATCCAATTGTGAAAGTGGTGTAAATTAAAAATCCCTCTTATTTTGGTAAAAGTTATTTCACTAGAAGAATGTAGAGCGTAAACTGGTAAATTTGAATCCTATTTCAGCGATTTTCTTTTTTATTTCTTATTTTAATTTTTAATTAAATGGCCATTCTCTTAAAACTATTGCAAACCTTTTTGTTGTGTGTAATATCTGTAAATATTTAATAAATAATTGCCTTTATAACGTGGTTTAAGAATAAATGTTTAAAACTCATTCGGATTAAAATCAATAAATGTCATTTCAATCCTGTAAAACACACTACACGTCGATCTCAAAAATAAAGAAAGTAGGCCTAAAACAATATCATCAGTAAGGATCGAACACATACCTTTCAATTATCAGGCATTCACTTAACCGACTGTGCTATTGTGGATAAACGAAATCCTGTGTAACTTTCAAGACATGACTTATATACTTCACATTAATGCTCGTAAACTACAGGGGCCCAAAACCCGGGAAAGTTGGACCCAAAATTTTTTAAAATTGAGGGGCCTAAAAATGTTTTTAAAATTGGGACAAGGTCAATAAAATCAAAATTTTAAACAAAAGAAAAACTTTTCAAAAACAATTTGGAAAAAGGCACAATATTTCTTTTAAAATTTTAAAGGTCAGATTCTCACAAAATAAAAAAAAGATGCAAAAAGGAGTAAAAATAGGGAAAGTTTTAATCGTTTGGGAAAAAATTAAAAAGATCCCAAATTAAAATGGGTTTTGGGGATAAAAAAGAAATATAAAGTTTTGAAAAAATAAAATTTTTTTTATTTTTTTTAAGGGGACTGAAAATTATTTTATTTTTAAAACGGTGTTTGGATTTGGTTTTCAATTTTTTTAAAATTTAAAAATGAAGCCCTTTTAATGAAAATTAAAAATTAAGAAGGAAGTAAAATTTAAACACCCAACAACGGGGTATTTTGGGCCAAATTTTTTTTTAAATAAAAAGAAAAAACTTTTTTCTTTTTTTCCTTTTTAAATGCGGGTTTGCCCAAGGAAGAAGGACAAATTAACATAAACTTAAAAAGCTTGTGAAAAAAGAAAAATACAGAAACAGGATGAATAATTATCGCCCAATTAAATTGGGTTTAATTTTTTAGGGGGCTTAACGAAATTAATTTTTTGCAAAGAAACTTTTTTAAGGGGGTCGGGGGTTTTTTTTAAATTGGGAAATAACAAAAAATAAACAAAAAAATGAAGTTGATCAAAAAAATAAAACAAAATAAAAAAAGAAAATGTAAATCAAGGGGGCTTTCCCTTTGGAACTTCGGGAAAATTAATAAAATTTTATCCCAAAAGCTCCCAAAATTTCTGGTAAATTTTTGAATTTAATTCTATTTTCTTCCCACCTTTTCCTTCATGCAAAACAATTTTAATTAAATTTTAATATTTTCTAGTAATAGACATACGTAGTCTGCATATGAATAAACGCCCCGCAGAAAACAGTGTGTGTCTTCACTCTGAATGTCTTGTCTAAGTGAAAAAGCCATTGGTAGTCTGTCAAGTACAAAAATTTGAGTCTAACTTAAGTTTTCCAGTATAAAGCCAGTGTGGTATCTGTCCAGTAAGAGAGCCAGTGAAGTTTGTCCAGTATTCAAAAGCCGTGTAGTCTGTTGCCAGTAAATAGAGCCAGTGAAGGGTTTGTCCAGTATAAGATCCAGAGCGTAGGTCTCTCCATGTAGGAGAGCCAAAAGTGTGTCTGTCCAGTAAAATAGAGCCTCAGTGAAGTTTGTCCCAGTAATAGGTGCCAAAGCGAAGTCTAAATCTAGTAATAGTGCCACTGAGTCTGGCCATAGAGAGCCAGTGTTGTATGTCCAGTATAGTGCCAGCGAAGTCTATCTAGTATAGTGCCACTGTACATAGTCTGTCCAGTAGAGAGCCACTGTAGTCTGTCCAGCAGAGAGCCACTGTAGTCTGTCGAGTAAAGAGCCGATGTAGTCTGTCCGGTATAGAGCCAGTGTAGTCTGTCCAGTAGAGAGCCACTGTAGTCTGTCGAGTAAAGAGCCGATGTAGTCTGTCCAGTATAGAGCCAGTGTAGTCTGTCAAGTATAGAGCCAGTGTAGTCGGTCAAGTATAGAGCCAGTGCAGTCCGTCCAGTATAGAGCCAGTGTAGTCTCTCCAGTATAGAGCCAGCCAGTGTAGTCTGTCCAGTAGAGAGGCACTGTAGTCTGTCGAGTAAAGAGCCAATGTAGTCTGTCCAGTATAGAGGCCAGTGAATCTTCAGAAATAGAGCCATTTTAAGTCTGCCCAATTATACCACTTTTAGCTGTCCAGAAAGGGGACCCAAGGTTTGTCTTTTAATTTAATAGACCCAGGGTCTCCAGTAAAGAGAAAACTGAAGCCTGTCCATATGGGACCGGGTTAGCTGCCCGGGAATAGACCGGTTTTTGTCTGTTGAAATGGGGCCAGTTTTGCCCTATCTGGGATAGAGCCAAGTTTTTGCCCCTTATAACCACGTAATTTCTGTCCAGTATAAAG